GGCGTCGTGGTAAGATTTTGTGATGACAAAATCACAAATTCGTCGTTCTCCCACCATCTACAGGCGCCCGTAAGCAACTCCTCCCAGTGCATGTTGACCCAAGTAGTGGTTTGGTGAAGTTGTTCCGGTAACGGCTCCATCCATTCCTTAAGCTCTTGCTGCAACAGCTGACCTTGTCGACGGCGCCGTTGAGGTGGGTGTTACTGTGGTAATTGAGTTGCGATAGCTGCGGCCACCTCAGTGTCGCCACAAAAATCTAAATTTGCCATGCCGCTGAGTATCGGTCTTGTTTTTGAGTAAGACAAGTGATCGCAAGTTTTATTCTCTGTTTTTAATAGCCACTGATAATTCGGCGAGGCCGATGCCTCCAGCGGGCTTCGGAGTAACAAGCAGCCCTGGGTTTGCTTCGGAAGGACGTATTTCTGCTGTCGTCACGTGCGCTTACAAATACTGCGTGTAAAATTGTGCAGCTCCAGCTCCGCACAATGCGGTGTGTCATGCACAATGGCGGTAATATATATGGACAATAGCATGATATAGTTAATGAACAACACGAGATTCGTCGCACTCGTTGCTACTCGTATCGCTGTGAGCAGGCGCGCCGCTGGATACACCGGATGCATAGCGCCCGATTTTCGTTGACGAGCTCCCCTGTCCCGATCTCATAGCCCAAGTACGTTGTCGTTGTCTCAGAAGGGACTTGAGCAATACCATCATACGGTTTATTCGTGACGGCTCAGTCTAAAAAGATTAATTGACTCTTGGCCAGTTAGACGTGGAGTCCAAAGAAATCTTCAAAGGCTCTATTGACGATCAGAGTATGAATAAGCTGCTCAGCTCTTTCAGAGTTGGGTCATAGACGACGCTTAAAAAGAGGTTGAGTCATTGCCGGGCGCCCTGGCGCTTATAAACTCAAAATACGTGTGCCATGGTTTAGTGTTAGGCCTAACATCTCTGCGACCAGCAAAAATAAGAGAGGCGTGAGAGGACTTTCATGCTGAATAAAAGAACTCACCGGGGTGGTATTGTATGGTCCTCGCCAACGACGAAAATTGGCTGTTGTACCAGTGTTAAGACGTCGAACAAGATCGAAGCGTAAATTGACCCAAGCAGTCGCATCGTTTCGTGAAGAAAATCTCTGTCAACCGTGTCGTGGGCCTTCGGAAATTCAAAGAGCTAAACACGCTTGCTATAAAGCACTGCCACATCTTGTTGCTCGATCACGGTCGTCATATGAGCCATCATCATCAAAACTGTTTTGTCCATACGTCGCCCTTGCACGAATTCTGGTTAAAACTGACTGATGAATTGAGAAAGTGGTACATGGAGTCGCATCGCCGGGACCTTCGCAAAGACTTTGTCGCCGGTTTGCAATAGCAAGATCGGTCGATAATCTATGGCGTCGACTGAGTGCTTTCTTTGAGAAGAGGAAGGAATAGTGCCTACAAAAAATGGAGGGAGGTCCGCACCTTCGAGGATGTGGTTAGTAACGCTACCAGCGCTGGTACCATGAGAGCAGACTTGTCCTTGTTAAATGGTTGTTTAGACCATCCTACCCGGCGGATTTGTGCCTATTGAGTTCTTGAACAGCTATGAGCATCTCGGCTTCCGAAATGGGACTTAGAAGACGCTCGTGTTTAATGCAAGAGAGCTTCTTATCCTCCGGAATGGTCACAAATTTGTACATAGCGGTAGGAGAAGCGTCCAGGGCTTCAGACCGGTGACCGGAGCTTAAACTTGACGTCCATTTGGGCGTAAAATTATTTGCAATGTCACATGATCGGTAAATGTGCGCTTATGATAAGACCGTAAAGATGTATCATGTTGATTTCTCTCCTAATTTTCCGCGCGCTTGTAGAACCGGAGGAGATGCTCTTTCGACTATTCAAGGTGATCGAGATATCGATTCATACATTCCTCTCGCATTTATTCGATGTTAGCAGAGATCCACTGGTTAAAAACCGCTGTCGGCTCCGGCGTCGCATTCGTACAATACTCCTTCGCCGCCGCTGTTTTTACCGTTTTGTTACCGATCGGATACATTTTGTACATCTAGTAATGTGTACATTCCTCGATAGAGAAGTCGGAGCATTTCATACACGCAGATTGCCCAGTCACGCCACCAAATCATCGGGAACGCGGTCCGGACGGTTGGTACGTACAGGATGTGCTGCATGTTGTCACCAAATTTATTTCGGATAGAGTTGCTTGACACTTCAATGCGGTTCCTCCTGTTGATGATCAGAATAGTGAGTACATGGTGTAGTTGAGATCCACGTAACATCCGGCACCCATTCGGTAAATACACTAAACGATTAATTCGACTGGTGTTCTCTTGTTCCAATGCTTAAAGTGGTCAATTTAAATCGCCGTCTCATCATCTTCCGCGTGCTCGCGCAGGAGTCCAGCATCGCTCAGCCCATGACTGGTGAGAAATCTGCCCAAATCTGGGCTCTCAGGCCGACTGGAAAATCGTGGCCTCATTCTGTCCAGCTGGGTACTTTTTACACTATTAACATATTCAAGAAGAACAGAAGTACGAGGGTAAATTCTAGTTCTTACTCTGGCCGATCATTTGGTGCATACACAGTAACGATTTATATGTTATGCATTGCTATCCCGACAGCTCTTACATTCCACTAGCACTCATTCAGGCAGCTTCGTGTAAAGCAGTCTGTGGCATGAGTAGAAAAGCAACATCACTCGACCCGGAAATCCGTAGCTCCAGTAAGACATCGGTACCTAATCCGCCTCACAGTATTGACCCCATATCTGACGCCACTCTAAATGGAGCGTGTTTGCTTCCTCAAGTTTGCGACGTGAGTATCTTGGACGAACGACGCAGGAGGCATTTTCTTACTGGTGCCTTGTGTCAGACTAACATCCAGAGAGGCCTTGTCGACTTGGAAAAGCCATGAACGTTTTGGCTGATAATTTTTCGATCGGCAGCTGAGCGACCCGCGTGAGTTGTTTGGACAAGCGATGACCATTTCAATAATGTGTGACGTCTACAACAATCAGAAATTTATAGCCTTGACCCGTACAGGTTCATCGCTACTGAATATTGTGAGTAATGCCTTTATAACTGAATAGGAGCTTTTTTCCATCTGATGGGCTTACTGTTAACATAGCACCGTCTACTGCTTTTATGTTCATGGATAGGTTTGGAAGAATCGAGAAGGACTGGCTGAGAAGAAGCACAGCATGACGTCATCGGGTGACGTCACAAGGAGAGCTTCTTAAACCTTCTGGAAGATCTTGAGAAGATCGAAGGGTGTTGATTGGTCTAGATAAACCAGTGAACCTTCTAGAAGATCTTGAGAAGATCGAAGGGTGTTCATTGGTCTAGCTAAATCAGTGGGACTGATATAGTTTGTCTAAGTATAGGAAATGAGTGGCTTAGAGGTAGCGAAGCAAGTTTGCGAACTAAGGACCATAAATATATTCACTTCACAATTTGCCTTCGCCTGCGCACATCAACATCAACAGGTTAACAGCCGCAACGCGCTCCAAACCGCCAAGCCACCACGTCCACCATGACAAACAAGCGGTGTGAAGTCCTCCTGGGTAGTGGAAACTACTTCCACTGGGAGTATAACATGCGCATGACGTTGGCGCGCAAGGGGCTGCTGGTGCACGTTCAAGTCATCAAGAAAGAAGAAGAGATGACGGATGCCTGGCTGTTCAACGACGCTAAGGCACTGGGTATCATCGCTCAAGGCATAGAGCTACAGCACCAGACCAAGATACGATCGGCGACGACAGCTATGCACGCGTGGGTCATCTTGCGGGACTTCTACAACCGCACCACGCTCCACAATCGTGTCGAGATGACACGTCGTCTGCATGAGTTCAAGATGGAGAATGGTTCGACCATGTCGAAGCACTTGGATGCTTTTGACGAGCTTGTTGTCGGCCTCCAGACACTTGGAGAGCCAGTCGATGACTCTCGGCAGCTAGTGGTGCTGCTTAGCAGTCTTCCGACGGACTATGAGCTCATCTCGTCAATTGTGGAGAATTCCAAAGACATTACGCTCATCGAGGTCAAGGAAAAGCTGCTCAAGGAGCATGAACGATTGCAGAGGAAGGAGACTACGGAGAAGGCGTTTCCTGTAAGCAGCAACGGTAGACGGTTCAAGGGAGGCCAAGGTAACGGCCGCAAGGGAAACTATCTACGGAAAACCAACACCGGAATTAAAGGCAAGTGCTTTAAGTGTGGTCAAGTCGGACACTATAAGCGGGACTGCCTGAAGCGTAGCAATGGCGAGGAAGAAGGTGCTGTGTTTGCTGCTGGTGAGTTGCAATGCGAAGAATGGCTTATCGACAGCGGGGCTACGTCGCACATGACACCACATCGGAGCGATCTATTTGAGTACAAGGAGTTGAAGACTGGTCAACAAGTCTCTATCGCTGATGGCAAGAAGCTGCAGGTAGCTGGAGTGGGAACAGTCAAGCTGAAAGGTCTAGACGGTCAACGGATCATGATGGCCGATGTCATGCACATACCAGGACTTGACAAACGATTGCTGTCCGTTGGCAAACTGGCAGGACGAGGCATGAGGGTGGAGTTTCAAAGCTCGTCCTGCATCATTTGGAGTGCCAAGCGCGCGATTGCAAGCGGCAAGAAGATTGGCAAGGCGTACTTCCTGGATTGCGAACAAGAAGAAGCCCGGCTTGTAGAATACGCAGGGGCTGAAAGTGAGTGGGAGCTTTGGCACGCTCGCTTGAAACACCCCGGAATATCTGGTATGGACAAGACACAGCGCGCTACGAGTGGTATGCCGGCGGTAAAGCAGGGCATCGAGAAGCTGTGCAGTGGATGCATGAAGGGCAAGCTGACGATCGATACATTCCCGTCTCAATCGCTAACAAGGACGTCACGTGTGTTGGAACTAGTACACACGGACGTGATGGGACCGATGAAGACGGTCTCAAAGGGTATTGCATGATTCGTATTGACATTCGTAGACGACTACTCAAGATTTGTGGCAGCGTACTTCATGAAGCACAAGAGCGAGGTGGCCGCGAGGCTTAGCGAGTTCAAGGCTTTCTATGAGAATCAATGGGGCAAGCACTTGAAGTGTATACGGTTGGATAACGGGACGGAGTTTGTCAACAAGAAGATTGCCCATATATGCGCCCGTAATGGTATCATGCACCAGCGGACAGTACCATATAGTCCGCAACAGAACGGCGTTGCGGAACGCATGAATCGCACTATCATGGAGAAGGCAAGGAGCATGCTGTACTACAAGGGTATCGACATGCAGTGGTGGGCAGAGGCGGTCAGTACGGCTGTGTACTTGATCAACAGATCCACAAACTCTGCAAATTCGGACGTAACACCGTTCGAGGTTGGTTTCAAGATGAAGCCGAGTATTGAGCATTTGCGTGTGTTTGGATCGCAAGGGTATGCTCACATTGACGACGCCAAGAGGACGAAGCTCGAACCAAAGAGTTACCGGTGTATGTTCCTCGGATATGCGGAGAACACCAAGGGATACAGGGTGTTCAATCTGGAAAGGTCGAAGGTTGTCATATCGCGCTCCGTAAAGCTGGACGAGCGGGAAGTTGAAGGCATATACGACACGGTGGTACCAGATAAAGTACCAGTCGTCAAGTATATTAGGGACACTGATGAAGCAGTGATTCCGGTGGTTTGTCCGTATGATGGAGACGAGACGATGAAAGATGTCGAAGAAAGCGCTCCTGATGTCGAGATGGACGAGACAGAATCGGCTCCATTCGAAACAGGTATCATCATACCTCAAGTACTCGATCCAGAAACTCAAGAACCAAGAGGCGATGAGATAACGGGATATCAAGCTCCGAGACAAGCTTTTCAGGAGGACAGGTTGGTATTTCAGCCGGAGATAAATCGGACAAGACGCTCACGAGACAGAATGCTGCTGCTTGAGAATGGGAATAGCAGTGAAGACACGTCAGAAGGTAGCGATGGACCACCTTCTCCAAAGCGTGCAAGAATTGATGACGAAGGTCTCATTGCAGAGGCTGTATTAGCCTATGCTGCAAGCGTTGGCGAGGCGGACGACGCTCCATCAACATACAGCCAAGCGTTAAAAGGCGAAGACAACAGCAAGTGGATTCAAGCGATGCAAGCGGAGCTCAAGGCGCACGCCGATAACGGGTCCTGGACACTGGTACCAAAACGGCAAGACATTCGACCAATCGGGTGCAGATGGATATTCGCTAAGAAGCGAAACGAACACGGACAAGTGGTGCGCTACAAAGCTCGACTCGTCGCAAAGGGGTTCAAGCAGAAATTCGGTGTCGACTTCTTCGAGACGTACTCTCCCGTGGCAAACATGAACTCGATCAGGGTTGCTAGCTGTGGTGGTGACAAAGGGATACGTCACTGAGCAGCTGGACGTAGACACGGCGTTCTTGAACAGTGATCTCAAGGAAGAGGTGTACATGGAAGTGCCAAATGGCATAGATAATGCGGAGAAGATGATGTGCAAGTTGGACAAGGCAATCTACGGTCTCAAGCAGGCTGCAAGTGCGTGGAACAAGACAATCCATGCTGTTTTCTTACAGATCGGATTTCGTAGCAGCGGAGCAGATCAGTGTATCTACGTCAAGCATCAAGATGACAACTATGTCTATGTTTGTCTCTACGTCGACGACATGATCATCGCCGCCAAGACCAGCAGGGAGATTCAAGAGGTCAAGACAGCACTCAAGAGCTCATTTCGTATGAAGGGGCTAGGCAAGGCTAAATTTATTCTTGGCGTGGAGATTGATCATGACCACAACTGCAGTAAGCTGATGATTCGACAGACTCGATACATCGATGATGTGGCCAGCCGTTTTAATCAAGAGGACGCAAAGACAGTGGTCAACCCATGCGAGTCCGGCCTGAAGCTGTCAAAGAAGCAATCCCCAACGACGGATGTCGATAGAGCAGAAATGCAGTCAAAGCCGTACAGGTCACTGATCGGATGTTTGCTATACATCACGACATGTACGCGCCCAGATGTGATGTATGTCATCACGCAGTTATCAAGGTTTTTGGAGAATCCAGGTCAGCAACATTGGAAGGCAGCCATTCGTGTTCTTCGGTATCTCAAGACGACAAGAGACTACGGGATAATCTACGACGGCAGCGCTAGCGAAGTAACAGCTACAGCGTATACGGACGCGGACTGGGGTAGCAACATCGATGATCGACGCTCCGTGTCAGGGATAATGGTGATCATCGGTGGCGCACCAGCCATATGCAAGTCCAAGTATCAACGCACGGTGGCTCTAAGCTCTGCTGAGGCAGAGTACATGGCTTTAAGCCTGTGTACACAGGAAGTGTTATGGGTTCGTGCGCTGCTTAAGGATCTAGGTCACGAGCAAGTGGGAGCAACGTGGGTCTGGGAAGACAATCAAGGAGCAATTGGGCTTGCCAGCAATGCCGGCTACAATGCCAGAACCAAGCACGTTGACATTCGTCACCACTTCATCCGGGAGAATGTGGCCCACGATACCATCGTGGTCAAGTACATCTCCACCATGGACAAATTGGCCGACATGCTAACGAAGGCTCTGGGGACCAAGCGACTGAACTATTTGATACAAGCAAGCTGCATTGGACCCAAGGGCATTTAGCAATAGCGGTGAGTGGGAGTGTTAACATAGCACCGTCTACTGCTTTTATGTTCATGGATAGGTTTGGAAGAATCGAGAAGGACTGGCTGAGAAGAAGCACAGCATGACGTCATCGGGTGACGTCACAAGGAGAGCTTCTTAAACCTTCTGGAAGATCTTGAGAAGATCGAAGGGTGTTGATTGGTCTAGATAAACCAGTGAACCTTCTAGAAGATCTTGAGAAGATCGAAGGGTGTTCATTGGTCTAGCTAAATCAGTGGGACTGATATAGTTTGTCTAAGTATAGGAAATGAGTGGCTTAGAGGTAGCGAAGCAAGTTTGCGAACTAAGGACCATAAATATATTCACTTCACAATTTGCCTTCGCCTGCGCACAATAACATCAACACTGACCCAGAGTAGAAAAATCGGTCTAATTCACACCAGTCTGCATGTTTGGAAGTGTCATATTACTCCACCTTGTACCCACTTTTGGAAAAGAGAAGCTGGATATGCGAGCGCGTCTTGGCCGATGTCCCTGTACGCGTCGGTGAACTATTCGATAAAGTTGAAATTAAATGGTCATATAGAATGCACAGAGCACGTGCTGACTCATGCTAGTACGCCGTTGAGGGTGACACAGAAGCAGCGTCTCCTCAGTGTTGATAACGGTATGATGATTCCAGTAGTCCCTGTTTTTTTCATCATCGGTACAAGCAACGATGTTTAACGCGATAAAAAAAGTTTGTGTAATAAATTTATCTAAATATATTTGCATAGTGAGTTCCTGGGAATATTGTAGAAATGCATTGCCCCCCCCCACCCACCAATCGCGTCACCTTTCGGTCATCCACTGCACCATGATTGATGGATCTAAGGACTTCAAAAGCTCTTTAAGAAGCGCGAAACGTTTCAACAGATGCAATAATTGTACCCGTGCGAATCTAGCCACTCGCTGTCACTCGCGGGTGTAGATGAAAGCGGTGGGGAAAGGTATTCGGTCAGGATATTGCCAGGTGTCTCCTTGTAAGTCCCACGCTGCCTCCCAATCTTCAACGTCAATCCGTTTTATATTCCTCAACTAAAGTGACCTGTCTCGCGCCCCAAGCATACTGAGTACTTTTTTAATGAACGCCTCATTGTGCTTTTATCGTACACAAGTGCCCTCCTTTACACGATCCTCGGGCGATGACATGTGCCCATGTTTTCGAGCAAATTCGGAAGAGTTTCAAGCCATGCGAGGAGGTGTAGTAGGCAGAGGCTGAAATATATTTGCGGTTTCCGTGGTGATGAGAGCCTGAATGCTCTGCTGAGGCATCGTGACTAAAGCAGTTTACCGCTCTGCCTCACCCAGAGTTATTAAACAAATCACTTTCTTTATCTTGGTCTCCATTAGCTAAAGATGCGATGTAATGCCTCATTTATAGTAGGAGAAGAGGTGCAACTTCTCGTTCAAATGCGTCATCGCGGTCGATAGGCACGCGTGATTCCGAAGTTTGAGATCCACTTGCGTCTACCTCCATCTAACGGTCGGACTACTGCCCGGATAGGTCAAATTTGATCAGAGTCGATGAACGAAGTGCTTCGTATCCAGGAATTAGCAGCAGAAGATCCGGTGATTTGATCTTTGCTGCTACAGCGTCGTCGATTAGCTTCTGATAGAGATTGGGTGATCTGTGGCGCTGTCAACCACGCGATGACTGTGAGTTACCGTGGTTGTATATATTTCCAGTCTCTCCAAGCTTGTTTAGGTCCATCTAAATGATTTATAAGGTCGATGGTTTGGCATGAAAATTAGTCGCCATGCAAACGGCTTTACTGCCGCCCTAGATGTCGACGCTGACTTCGTCCGTCCAACCAGACGGGCTGAATCAAAGTCTTTGAGGTACCAGCGCATCTGATAGACTGTCGTGTCATTGTGGCCCACTCGCACTTGACATTTACTAGACTTTGTATGCGATGATCATGTGCGAGTGGTCTTCAAGGTGAAGTAGACTCAAGTTTGTATGTAATAGGGTATCCTGTTATGTCAACAGGGAGATTTCTGCCGTAACGACCTTCTGCCAATATTACCCGAGATGGGTAACATTAAAGGAATGTTGTCCCCTTAGGATAGTGTTCATGCGCTGCTCAAAGATTAATTGACAAGGACATATCAACAAAGGCTACCATCAATCGCTGCTAGACGCGCGTAACGAGTGGTGAGCAGGTTGTCGTCATACAAAAACGTAGATTAATATAGTTAGATAAAGACTGAAGTTATACAGATAGCTTAACTATTTTGAATACAATTATCTTTTAACCTTTATTCAAACTAGCTGGTCCAGTAGATCAGCTTCCTCTCCACGTGCGAGTGTACGTGAAGTTTCGTGGCACCCAAGCAAAATGTGCCCTGTTACAATGTAACTCCACAATTATTCTGGCCGTTAGACGATCATGTGCCAGGTCAGGATCATCCGGATTGCCGTCCGTCGCCGCTTAAGCCATTTCCAGATGTTGACTAGTCGCTGGCGCAACTACCGTCCGGATACCAAATTGTTTTTACAAATTTATCATGGTAGCCGGAGAATTTTATGTGCTAACCCCTAAGGGAAGCGCCGGCGCCTCTGGACCTTGAAATCGCAAAAACGATTTGAGGGAATGTATTGCGCTCCTGTTGCTTATGCGTCTAAAGCACTGGTCCCGTCACAGTCGGAGCTGGACCCCGAGATATACCAGCAGCTTTTCGATATGATTTCGCCTTAGTAAGAGGCGCTCTAATTTGATGCCCGTGTCTCTGCCGCGGCTTCTGTGTTTTATGTAATAGGAGAAACTGACTCAAAAGGATCATTTGTGTCTCCAAGAATAGCGCAATTGTCTTTATTCTCCTCTTCTTCATTTTATAGTGTCTGGTAAGCATGAGCCTTGACTATTGGGTGGGAAGTAGACACAAAGAAGGTAGCTCGCCGTGAAAGACCTCTCTTACCCTTTGCGTCAATTAAGGCTGCTCGGTTGGTGGATCCGAATGCGGTTGCGGTTGGATATGGGCAAATTGCACCTTATTCAGCCTGCGGTGCGCTGCTGTTTGCGGTAGAACGGATTGGATCGGGATTACTCGAACATCGAGATGCATCATTTAATTCAGCTGGTGTTACAGTAGCCTGAGTTGCTTAATCTACCTCATATGTAGTTTAATCCTCTTTTCTCCATTACTTTCATTTCCTCGATACTAGAGAAGAGTCAAGCTATGCCAGAGAGCCCTTGGTTGTCATCCTCCGTGACAACAGTACCCTCAGGTCCTTACAGTTGACCTTCCGTAAAACTGCACCGCGCCGGAGAATGGACGAGATTGCCACATTGAAGGCTTGTAAACGGTGACCAACTTTTAGATGTTTGGAACAACTATCGTTGCTCCAAACCATCGAATGCAAACCACCCAATGAAGGAATGTGGAGCAACCCGCAAGCTTAAAAGCGACCCTCCAAAACGTTCGCCAAGTCCATCCACTTCTTCTTCTTCTTCTTCTTATCAGGTATGCTGCAAACAATTATCGAGGCGATCGCATGCCTTTCAATGGAAGTGTTTATGGCCTGCAAAAGTTCTCACAGGTCTTGTTGAGGGTCTTTATGGCAACGAATACATGTAATGGGGGCCGGCGAAGGCGCGCCGTGCTGCCTACGATGTGCAAATGCATAACCTTCACCAATAAAGCGATATCGGACGCATTGCGGCTTTCACAAAGGCGAAGATTCCGCATGAGTTTAAATCGGAGGATACAGAAAAACGCATGAATCTGAATTTATTGTAACCGATCGTCTTAGTCTATTGCAGCATATGATGCAACTCTTCCAGGTTGATCCTCGCGAGATCAACTGACTCGATGATAGTATCCTCGATTGGTTTAGTTGTTTGTCGAGTCACCTTAATCGAGCAAAATCTGTCCGAACGTAGAACTAGTTCTCCTTAGATCTGAGCCTGGGTGGTAATATACAGAAGAAAGAGCTCTTTACTCTTGAGAACGTACAACATGAACTCAGGTAGCCATCTACAGGCGATTTTGCTTTACACTATCCCGACAATTACTGCCTATTCATCTATACTACCACCCCGAACGTAAGAGGGCCTGCCACGGGTACATATCGTTCACACAGGGCTCTAAGTCAGTTGAACTTGTCGCACGAGAACCTTGCAGGGTCGAACATGAAGTCATTAAAGGATTTCTTGATTATGCTGTGCGTCCGTCCGCCTGGTGCCGATACTCCTTGTCGTACCACCTTGGACCTCTGGTTCAGCACCGGAGCCTGAACCCATTTATGCTGGCTAAGAACTCTACACGCTGTCTTTATTACCCATTTGGAAGTAATATGTTCGCGCTTTATAACCTGTACCAATTTGGTACAACTCGAGAAGCCTCCATTTCGTTTGGCAAACTCATGGTAAAGCTATTCCACAAGACTTGTTGCCTTACCCGCCGTTAGGGTGGGAAACCAGTTTCGATCCATAGGAAGAGGCTTGGTATGAAAAACACCTTGTTGAAATGACTGTAAATGAATGTCGCACAGTCGTGCTCCATGTTTCGATATCTCCTACATGCTGAACCTCTTTCATTTCCTCCACAAGTGCAGTGAACATCTCCTCCAGATTTGCGCTTATCCGGCTATCTCTTTGTGCCTGGCCCGATTCATCATTGTTCAATGGCTGTGTGACAGGAGGGCAAGGCGCAGTCTGATCTCTGTTATCCTATTTACCATCCTGTAAAGAGCCATCATTGGCCACTGGATATGCGACTGAAGAGGAGGAAGCGCTCTGAGCCCTGTCCTCCGTTTTTCCATCCTGGCCTGTAGGTGATATGAAGAGGTTTCGGGCGTTTCGACGTTTATCCCTACATGAGGAGGTAGGCTAGGAGGGGACACCGTGAGCGTGGTTAATGGTCCTGGAGCTTGCTGTACTGTTCATATCCCTCCTGCTCAGTTGCATTTCTTGCTCCGCAGATTGGGAAGTGAGTTTGGTCGGAAATGGGTAGCAGTACCGGGAAATGCTAATACGTGGATCGTTGCGCGTCGCGGCTGATAAAAAAATGCTAACACAATAATCACCCTGAGTATCATTGATAGTAGTACACGACACTCGTGTGGTCTCACACTTCGTCCACATCATAGCTTGTGAAGATAGGATAGGTCACGTGAACATGGTGAGAACGAGTGTACCTCTTGAGGGTACCGACGTGAACCATCTCTGCTGATGTAAATCACAATCTTACGAATATGTGAGATGTGTGCTTGCGGACATCGAGCAAACAAAGGCAATGGTTGAAAATGAGCAATGCCCCATGGAGATGATACGCATTCATACTAATATATGTCTACTGCATTTAAACGGTACCGATTGAGGCAGAATACAATACCTTTTACCGACATAGTACCACACTTGGCACGGTAGGTACGTCTTGCTGCAGGTACATCAGCCTGTTCCTCCTTGCTTGCCTATATATTCAATATAATACTTTACGGCTGTTTCAACCGTTAAGTACCGCTCTTCGACCGAATTTTTGTCTTGAGCGGGCAACCAACCCTTGAAAAATCTCTCTTCCGCCTATTGGAGATGGTCGGGTCATTTAGATAATTCTTCCCTGTAAGCATCACATGCACACTCGATACTCGAACTGCCTTTCAGACGCAGAGCAAGTCTAATTTGACGCGCATAGGCAAAATCAACATCCTCGGCAGAAAAATACGTTTTTACATAATTTGTTAGATGTTTGCCTGTGGTGTCCAGCTTGTTATTAGTTAGCGGGGCATCGAAGTGAAAACATTTTGTTGGTCGTGGCAGCAAAGCCAAAACTCTCTCCTACCGTTGCAACTCATCTTTCCTGATCCATTCTTATATCCAACCTTCCCATTTTAGCAGATCTTTTTCCATGTTTCTTGTCCATAAAACGGTTTCCAACCGTCCCAATCCAGAATCTCTTTCTTGTTGAGTTAAAGACAAATGTTGAAGTAATTTATTTATTGAAATCCTTACATCTCTGGCTAACCATGTTACATCTAATTTCTACATCTACAATGTGTTTCCATCGCACAAGAAACATTATCGTCCCAACGTCTTCATCACTATCAGGTACTCTTCTGGTAATCAGTTTACCTGATATCAGCTGTACATCATACATGCTTGCCTTATGATCTCACGAAAGTGGGTCACACCCGATTACCATTATCCAATAAACATGCATCCATAAAAACATACATACAGTGTACCTTGTCAACACTTTCTTTTGTTCCTTCCCTACAACATATTTCTCCGATGTGGCTCACACTACCATTTCCACGACACATGTCTCATCGCCTGTTTTTGACACTTTTCCTTGATGCGTACATGCATGCTTTAAATAGCCTACTCTTCCATGTGTAGACCTTGCAGAAAACTGCATGCTTGGTCCGCTCGAGAGCCCTTGTCAAGCCGTCCGTAATCACCTTACCCGTTAGCTTGTACTCAATATCAATGACGACATCCTCAAACTTTTAGCGAAGGAAGTGGAACTTGGTGTCGATGTGCTGCATTCTTGAATGGTAGGACAGATTCTTTTTAAGCTTAATGCAACCCTTGATTGTCCTCATTGAATGTTGTCGCCGCTCCAAGTTCAAAGCCAACTTCGGACAGTAATTGTCCACACCGCATCTTGCGCTGCAGCGTACAATTACATGTACATAGCCTTGGTTCTAGATGTTGCCACTTCCGGTTGTCACAAACACTTCCAAGAAACCACGTCGCCGTGCAAGAAGAAAGTGTAACATGTCGTTGAGTGGCGAGAATCCAAGTCGCTTGTCAAGCGCATCCGCAAAGCCTAGCAGCTTTCCTTTGTCCCTTCCGTGAAATAAAATACTGTGATCAGCAGTCGTCTTTAGTACATAAGCACGCGATTAGCCGTGATCCAGTGGTTCTTTCCAAATCTCTCGCAGTACCTTGGACACTTCTCCTATAGCGTGCATGATATCTGGTCTTGTGTACGCTGCAACGTACCTGAGTGCACTAATTAGCGCCCGGTTAGGCCAACTGGGCACAAGTGTATCATCGTCTTCATCATCTCGGTCAACTAATAACCTTAGTTTGACGGTGTGTGTATGTACTTGCATTAGTCGACGCCAAATTTATCAGCCAAACGCTTAAGGGTGGCACGCTGTTTTATGGCCCATTAATTTGCTCTTAAGATCACGTATTGAATAGATGCCGAAAACGTATTTCAGCTCGCCTAGCTCCTTGATACTTAACGCGGTTGTAAGTGCATGTTTGATGTCATCGGTGTGCTGTTGTGTCCGCGCAAATGGCATTTAGTCGTCAATGTGAACGACCAAGAGACTAATTTGAGCATCCACCTTCACACATAGACACGCAGACGTACGCGTAAAACCTTGGCTGTCAAGGTGTGCGTTGAGACGACGTGTACATGCAGTGCTGCTTGCTTTGTACCGTACAAGGCTTTGTAGGCAGAAACTTTTTGTCACAAAAATTATGCATGTCAATAAATCCATTTGCCTGATCCATGTAGACCATTTCTTTTACTTCATCGCACAGGAGTGCAGTGCCGACATCAACATTCTCCATAAACAAATCTTGCTCCGACGAAGTGCAAAAACAACGTTGACCAACTCTTTATGAGCCAATAGAGCAAACATGTCAATTTAGCTGACGCCAGGACGCTGAGTAGATTCCTTTACTCTGAGTTGTGCCTAGATTTTCATGATTTTCCGGTTCGGTTTGAGCTTTATGCGAAATAACTACTTCAACTGCTTGATCTCTTGTCCAAGGTAAAATTTTAAAGCGTACATGCGCTATTCTGTATCAAAGATTGAATCTCACTTTCCATCGCACGCTCCCGAATGTACTTGTAATTGCTTCGCAGCACTTGGTCGTATGTCGATGCTGTTTAGCTGTCCCCTTCAGCGCTGAAACAGTGTTATACCGCGTAGCTAGCGTCATAGTCGTCCAGGTTGCTTAGATCGGTAGAATCTTGCTCATACCGCTTGATCGCTTGTTTTTTGCGTACTGGTATCACAGTGGACTCTTGTCCGCCGTCTCGACCTGGTGTGCTAGATTGCCGTGTAGTGGTGGCACCGGTTGGTCTATCCATCGGCCTATGATGTCATGTGTCATTATCGGAATTCCTAATACTGGTGTGATGTTTTACTAAATGCTTCATTTGTGGTCTCTTGGAATATGATTATCCTCGCCTTCTCCCACAACGTCAATGAAACGAGGCATTTCTTCACCTCGTGGCAGCTCCGCCACAGTTCCTGCAAAGGTCACACACTGGGAAATAAATGCCTTCACAGTATTTGTATGACGAAGTCGATAAGATTTGTGCTGCTTGGTGTATCCGAGCAGCATGCAACACACACCAGAGGGGTCCAGCTTGATTCGCTTTAGGAATATGCGAGTAAAAAGACTTCCACAAAATCGTAATAACTCAATACAAGGTTTACGCTTGAACGCCAACTCGAACGGACCTGAGTTTGTACTTCAGGCGCTTAGAAGTACGCTACGTATATCTGCAGCGGTCAGCATTGTCTCACACCAGTGTCTTATCCATTATAGCTTCGCTTATCATGTAACTCGTAATCTCTACCAGTGTGCAATTATGTCTCTCTGCCATGTCATTCTGCTCTGGATAATACGGCACTATGAACTCCTGCTTTATCATCTTTTGAAGACAGAATCAAGTCATCTCATCATTGCGGTACTCACTGCCGTTATCACTGAGTAGTACCGTGACGTTCAAATCGAATTCAATTATTTGTATCGTGACATTACTTTTTAAACGCTTTGGTGGCATCGCTCTTCTTGCGTAGCGGAAAGACCGTCACATATTGACTTTTCTTCATCATGAACGTCACGACGTAGAAATATTCCGACCTTGATGCTGGTGTTATTGGTCCTAGAACATATAAGCATACGGTTGAGTCCATACGGTGACTTTCGCTCGCTGCTTCAGCAGCCTCAGTGTTGTCGAATTTCTTGCGTAATTTCTTGGCTATTGCACAAATATCACGGACGGATTTCGGTTCCATGAACTTTCCTTGTATGCAGCATTATTTGTTCAGCTTGTTCACGGTCATGTATGACACGTGTCCCGAGTCGATGATGCCATCGTTGAGCTTGTTTCTCTACCACATGGCATTGTGGGACCTCTTCATAATGCAGCATACCACATTGCTTTCCTGGCGCGACGATTCACCCGCTTTTTGGACACAGTACACCCATCACTGTTGTGATCTCAACCATCATCCCGCACGCAGCAGCTGCTGTTAAAGAGAGAATGTTCTTGCCGAGATCTTGCACGTCGAGTGTGTTATTTAGCTGCGCATTGATCTACAAGCTGCCTTTCTAAACACGCAATACCACCGTGCCTTGTCCAAGCACCTTCAAGCTCGCATTGTTTTCGCACTTTTCACATTGCGAGCTGTCGGTGAGACCGTGTACTTCTTAAGCGCGACTTTATCTTTGCACATATGTGCCGTTGTGCTGCTGTACATGATCCAGCAGCCGCTCATACTTCCTGTAGTGTCGTTAAACGCCCCATTCGAGTGATCTTCTTGCATCTCGCCACGATCGGGTTAGTCTTTCCGGCATCGTGCGCGTAATGTCCGCGGTTGTCTCAGTTAAGCACTGGACACTTAGTCCTGCCTTTTGCTAGCCGCAACTCTCTTTGTTTAAGCTTTCCTTCTCCTGCAGCTTTCCGATATGTAGCGCTGTCTCGTCTTCAATGCGCGAATATTTTCTTCTTGCGCACATCCTGGGCGATCAGCTTGCTTATTGGATCCTTAAAACTAAACTATGTGACACTCACGCGAAAAGCTTATACCATACGCTCGTATTGTGCCGGAAGACTTTGTAGCAATGTTGCACACGTATCTTTTTCACTCGGTCCACACGAAGCTCCAGTAATGTTTAGCACGAGCCGCTCCATCTACATAATGTGAGCGCTCATGTCCGGTGCCGTATACTTAAATGTTGCAAGATTTCCTTTCACCCACAGCCGACTTGCCATGCCTTGATCCCAATGAACTCGCGCGAGGACTCTCCATGTTTTGCGTGCACGACCCGTTATATTGATATGCATGAGCTGAGTGTCGCTCATGTTGAGCACGATCTCGGCGTGTTCCTGCTGCTACTTCGCCTCGAAGACGCCGGGTCTAGCGTCAACACTTCCCATAACCCCTAAAAAATAAGTTACATTTTCATCTCGAACGCCCAATACGGATAGTTTGTACCGTTAAACTGTGCCACCTTGGGGGCGGCGTATTTGCTTGGGTTCATAACCTGTTGGTAGTTGGCGGGTCGTTGAAGTGAAGATCACTTGTCGGTCAAATCAGCAAAATCAAAGGTGAATTGCGTTATGAGTGCAAACTTGGTCCTACCTTTGCGACTCATCTTTCCTGATCCATTCTTCGATCCAAATATCCCGAATACATCAGTTCCTTTCCCATGTTATCTATTTTAAAAAACGGTTTCTTTGATGTGGCACACACTACCCATGTCCATAACACATGTTTCATCACCCATTCTTAATATAGATTGCCGCCGGTGATCTTATCGCTGGTTGCGGTGTCATTTCTTGGAGTCGTTCCGGCACCATGGAAGCGATGTTACAATTACTGTCGGTCATGTAGCTTATGCTATGGCGAGGGTGACCGAACAAAAAGGTGCGAATCTCACTGTCTTACCTGCGAAGAAAGCGGGATGCACACATTCTGAAAAGAGGCATACTAATCGATTGTCTGAATGCCGGCATTTTCCAAGCACAATCGGGCGTTTTAGGGATCCCCATTTCGAATTGTGTGAATGGGATTTTTCTTTTTGATAGCCTTATTCTCAGGTCTCTTTTGATCGGGCAATTTGATTAAAGATGCCTAATCTGCCTAATTTAGTTTTTGTGAAATGCCTAATGCACATCACGGCCGTATGCACACTATAGTAACTGAATTGTACGTGGGCTTGCTTACCACGCGTCATCATTGCTTGATCAAACCTTTGTCGCGTGGAAAGGCTGCCGCCTCGCACGATACGTCGTTTAACATCCAACACAAGCTGGCGTTTACTCTATAAGTTGTCTATTGGCGCCAAATGAGAGGAGCGGAAAGTCTGCCGCCGCGCGATGCGTCTTTTAACATCCAACACAAGATGTGGTACGGTGTCAAAGTTGTCGGCAAGGACACTAAACCCGACAAGATCAACCTTGTCGCCTGCCAATTCTGCCTCACGTACTGTACCGAGGAAAAGGCCGGATCTAAATGACTAAACGCCGCTTGCATGAAGACTTTTGGTCCGCAGTTCCATCCGAAGAACTACAGATGGCATTTCACTTTGCAGCATCCGGCCAAGTGGGAGGAGTATCAGCTCACTTCAGGCTCTGACAAGGCGATCTTCTTCCATGTTACTATACCGCTTGTTAATGCCATCGTACTTTTTTATGTAACTGAAGAGAGGCCACATTACACCTACTATATTGACAAGCAAGTCATTGAGCTCGTCGTTGGAGAAATGTTGTGGGATTCCGAGGACGTAGAAGCTCTCAAGTTTAAAAACGCGATGCGCATATTTTCTCATGAAGAGCCACCAGGTGACTGCACGGTCACCTTCAAGACGTCTATGGCCTACAAGCTGGCGATCAAGCACGTTGGCATTGGATTCAGCATGAAGGATATCACCCTAGCAATCAGACAGCTAAGGATGTGGTCAATGCACCGAAGCTCACTGGCATGAATCCAACCAAGGTCGCCTGCGCGCAATGCGCTGCTGCTTGCCAGACCATCGATAACATTCCTAGACATTTCTGGGCATTTTACATTCCCATCGACATTTTTATCGACAACATTCCCAGACTTTTCTGGGCATTTTCGATCGCTCTAGATGTATCTACATGCCAAGACACGTCCTACGTTGACATTCAAGTTCGGGTTGTTTGGCATTTCGAGCTGTTCAACTTGCACGTCATATCTATCCTATTCTTCGGCTCACACCGGTGTCATTCAGTTTGAGGTGCTCTGCAAGCTGATTGGCGCCTCCTCAATCGGAGCGCCAAACATGACCGGCGCGATATCTGGTGTCATTACTCGCATGCGGCAGGCTAACTCGGCGGCTTCCATTGCGTGTGGTGTCGGCTGCACCAGCTCGACGTTTTGCTTGACACGACGTATTCGAAACTCGATCAGGGGCAGTGGTGGGAGACGCTTGTTGTCATGATCGCAAATCTTCGTATGCGGACGCTCATTGCCTGAAATCGATTTGGTCTATCCTAAGACTTTGACCATGAGTTTGCAGGTCATGCTCCTTGCCACCTTCTGGATTACAGAACATCGGCATGAGATCATGGTGCACTGCACTGAGGTGCCTGCTGGGCGTCGTGTCAGTGAGACGGCAAGCGTTGTGTGGCGGATCATGTACTCGATCACTACATCGATCTCATGCATCTCATCCGCATGGCGGTGATGCAGCTGCAAGGGCACCGGCTAACGCTCATTCAGAAAGATGATATTGTGCAGCAGTTGATCGTATACCAGATTCTCCCTCACACTGGGCATAAAGGGGCAAATTGGCGGGTTTTCCAACCTGCACGCCAACCGACTCGATTGCGCGGCCGAGTACTCAAACATCACTGCCTTTGTTGAGTACCTCCACCATTTCGAAATAACGCGGCTCGCCGCTCTTGACAAACATACATTCGCGACGCCTCCTCGACAATATCGTTTCACTTATCTATGGCACTGTCGAAGGGTTTCTCGAATGCGTTGAGGTACGGGATGTCTACAATGACGGTAATGTCTATCCTGCACCACCGGCACATCCATCGGATCTAGTCATGCTCATGGGATGCGACACATTGCTCGATACGCTGCAGATGGAGCGACTGGACGCTTCGTGGGCGCCAGCCGACATCAACAAGATTGGTGCACAATTCAGGGCGCTCTATGCTGCATATCGCACCGACAAGTCAATGCATTTGACGCCAACAAGTCACTACAGTCGGCCATCGATGCCTGCGGCCAATAGTGTTCATTCGACAGCGCCTCAGCTTAACAGGGTCTGAACCGTCGCTTCGACCAGATATCCAGCTTTTTGGACGGCTTGACGTCGCCTTCTCCAACACAGCGCCGGTTGAGAGCGAACTCTCCATCCCGAAGTTTCCTAAAGATGCGTTCAACAAGTCACTGACCGACTTTTTTCTCTCGTAGGGTTCTTGCAGCGCAAGCAGTATGACATGCTGATGCTTTTGAAACAATAAAATGCGTGCGCACATCTCATGTTGAGCATACTTCTTAATCTGCCTGTTCTCTTTTTTCAAAATGATGCTTGATATCATTTGTATCAGGCAGATTATAATGTTGCCTAATCTTCAGAGGTCTGGTAATGATGTTGAATTTTTATTACCGACTCTGCGACTTTAACATCAACGACTATGTAAAGCAAACTATTTATAGATGTTTTGTAAAACAGGCAAACCTAGAGTTTGGTTGGTTATAGTCCAGTCATGAGACGCTACACGAACGTCACGATGACATGAGCTTATTCTTCAAGGCTCACCAGCAGAGCTAACGTCAGATCACAACCGTGCAGTCAGACTGCCGACTAAGATACGTAATCTTTGGTTGTTGCCTTTGTGACACACCGCAGCTTTTCGTTTCTATACTTATAAGCGGACAAAACACACAATCACTTCCTTGCGAAAGTACTGACGGAAAAGTCTTCAGGTTTCACAAAAACCTCGCTGGCTACTGCTGATCTCGTGGATGGTTTTGACGCAACGCGAAGACAAATAAACGGCAACGCGTGACGCTCAGACCAACGCCGACGCAAGCATGAAACCATTGTAATGACCTCACGGTATACTGAGCAAAAATACGGACATGGTGCATTCTTGTGATGAACACAAACTACACGTAGTTTGATCGAACGTGTGGTATACTGAGAATGGTACCTCTACGACTCACTCGATCTACTCGTCGGACACAGCCAGGTGGTTAGTCATCGTAGAAGATTCAAGTTATGGGGCAATAATAATAGTTGCTTGTCAAAAGTGTTCGATCGAGCAGCCAATGGATGGAAATTCATATTGAACTGCACATCGCGGGACCACCGCAAACGCCCAACTTGTGCTATTGGTATTTATTATCCATATTTGCCGTGACGATACGATAGACTCCATGTTTCTCTACGCTTCGAAGCATGGGTATATTCGTGAATATCGTATACTTCAGAAGTATTTTTGTACTATTATCTTACTCTCCTGGTACATTCTTCCAGATTTTACTTCTTACTCCTTTGTTGCTGTTTCTAATCTTGTGGTGTAATATTATCGAACTCTGGATGGCGTAAATTAGTTGTGACACCTCTACGTCGTTTTTTCGCACAATGTTGTTTGCTTATACGGTATATTCTCACGTCAGGTCCGCGAAATACTACCAGCATATCGTCACACAGCTCTGCACTATTCTTTATGATCTGAATCCGACCACCTCTTCTAACTCATCAGATTTGCCCAACCTATATGCCAAAAGCAGTCGCAAACGAAACTGTCAAAAATTAGTCAACGGAACACAGTCAACCTCCACCTCGACTTGCCATGGGAAAGCATGACTTCTTGACACCCAAGGCCATCGGCATCCGCATGAAGGTACGCCTTTCCATCACCATCGATAGAAACCCTCTCTGGTTTCTTGCTCTCCTCTCCACAAGCTTTCCATGTCGTCAATTGTCATTTGCAAAAAACGCGCATTTTTGACAACATCGCTTTTGTTTTTGACCATCCTAGGCCAAAGGACTCCAGAAACTCCGGTGGTTCTGTCAAGTCTGTCAAAAACAGTGTCGAGACGAGAATGGCTTCAAGTGCCACACAACATCCGAAGCACATCAACGTCAGATGTTGATCGTGGCCAACGACCCAGACAAGTTCATGAGTGGCTACAGTGAACTCTTTGAAGACGCGTTTCTCGAGAACCTTCGCCGACGTCATGGGACCAAGCGCATGCGGGCTACGCACGTGTACAATGAGTACATTGCCGACAAACTGCACGTCCATATGAACGCGACCCAGTGGGAGACGCTCGGCAGCTTTGTGCAGTACTTGGGGCGCACGGGCAAGTGCGTTGTCGATGAGACAGAGAAAGGGTGGCACATCCAGTATATTGACAGGGACCCCAAGGCTATAGCTCGACAGGAGGAGCTGGAGAAGAAGAAGAAGGCGGATTTGGACCATGAAGAGCGGAACCGACTGTTTATTCAACGTCAGCTCAAGATTGCGAGTGAAAAAGACGGCGTGGAGACGACACAGCGACCGACCAAGTTGCAGCGTGGAGAGAACGGAGAAACGATCAAGATCTCGTTGTTGGCTGCGAAGAAAGAGCGCGGGATGAAGGATAGTGGAGTGTCTGATGCAGGGAAGGCTTTGGCGTTTGGTGGCATTGCAAGTGTGAACGTGTTCGGTAATGAGGATGTACAAGAGGCTGAGAAGAGACGAGAGAAGCGGAAGATGGAGGTGGTGGGTGAAAAGCGATCTGGCAAACAGCACGCAGTGGACTCGATCATGGAGGAAGAAGAGCGACGAAGGAGAGGCAAAAGTCGGCGGCTGGAGGAGGAGTCGAAGCGCCAGCGGAAAGAAAACTGGGTAACTTCTGGCATCGTGGTCAAGGTGACGAACACAAAGGTAGGTGACGGCCGGTATCACAAGTGCAAAGGAGTTGTGAAGGATGTGGAAGATAAGTTTTGTGCGACTGTGGAGATGCTGGATTCCGGAGATGTCCTGCGACTGGATCAGGACGATCTCGAGACGGTCATCCCGAAACTCGGACGCAAAGTCAAGGTTGTCAACGGGCTCGGACGTGGATGTACCGCAAAGTTACTCGCTATTTCGGTCAATGACTTTTGCGCTCGTATTCGGATCGATTCGGGACCACATCGGGGCGAGATCTTAGATCGAGTAGAGTACGAAGACATTTGTAGGCTGGCGGATGAATAGTAATCAGCGTGGTCGAGAGTTCCAGGTGATTGTAAATACCATGGTGGTGACGTAGACGCCCGAAGGTTATCCAGTTCATGTGCGCTGGCAAAAGTTGCTAGCCCACAGTTTTGTCTTCATTCTGGATCGATTTATCGCCTTGATCTGTGGCTGACGCACTATCACGACGTAGTTGCCACAGTATTCCTACGCACCATCCGAAGATACGCGGGTTGTAGCTCGATGTCTAGACGTGGTCCGCAAGTCAGTTCATTACAGCTATCGGTGAAGTCGTCGAGTCAGCGAGCCTGATCATGGAGATGACGGAGGACGGTCTGCAATTATACTCATCAGTTTGCTTCATCACGAACCCCATCGATAAACCAGCACGAAATATCACACACCGTCTTCACTTTTCGAGACCACCGCAGCCTTGCTCTCTTCATCCTCTTCCATCTCCTCGTCCTCCTGCTGTTCATCATTGTCCTTGTCCTGCTCGTCCTCCGCCATATCCTCGCTTAAAGTGGCCTGTAAATTCTGGATCGTGTTCATCAAGAGCGCAAACTGTTTCGTGCGCAAGTCGAGCTGCTTCTCCACTGCCTCCATCGCCTTCGTCGCGTCTTCAAGTCGTTTCTTCTCATGCTCAATCTCCGCTGTAACTTCCCGTCGAGTCGGCAGCTCATTAATCACCCGAGCAATGGCCTCGTACTCCTCCTTGTACGCACGCACTCTCTTCTCCACGTACACGCTCTGCTTGAGCTCTTCAATGTCCTTGGTCACTTTAGAAATCGACGTGTCAATCTCCGCATTGAGCGTCTCGTACTCCTCAAGCTCGCGATCGCACGTATAGTTCCAGATCTCCGTCTTATTAGCCTCAAACTCCAGCTGGGCCATCTCCCAGAAGAGCGCGTCCAGCTCTTGCTTGCACGTCTCAGTGTCCACGGACTCGTCCAGTAAGAAATCCACCAGTGTCAAAATTGTCTCGGTGCACTTCTTGAACCCTGATTGGCCCACAGTGCTCGTGCGAGTGAGCAACCGACGGCGGATCACGGCGTCTAAATGGATAGGAACGAGCACAAGCAGATACAGAAGAGTGTCAGAAACACAGCTAGAGTGACGCTCTAGTCTGGATGTGAGAAGACCCCTGTACCGTCGTCTGCCATTGTTTGTGACGTGACGCTGTCAAAAAGGGTGGACGTCGTCCGGGTTGTTGTGTGAGCTATTCGATGGCTCGAGCGACGCGGATTTTGACAGACGGGGAGTTTTCGACAGCGTTTCTAAAGTCGCCGACAGTTCGATCGAAATGGCTCTTTCGTCATACTTGAAATTGACACAGACGTTGATAGCAACTACTACATCGCGCGATGTTCTGATTAACTGTCGAAAATGTGATCAGTCTTGATCCAAATAGGTTGTACGATGATCGGTGTAAAAAGGGCGTTGTAGACTTCTTCTGTGCGCGCACATTAGTGACAGAAGAATCGATCTTCTCGCGGCAACATAGAAACTTTGTCGAAGAGCTACACTTGCTGCTGCTAAGTATTGCGCAGCCAGTAATTTGCTAAAGTGAGCCACAATGCCGCCGTACCCGACAGGATTTGAACATCCACAACCCATTCGTCGTGCCCATTGGAGCGTCTATGGTACATCACTAGAAATCGTATACTAGCTGATGCGCTTGGGGTGACACTTTTCGTGTAAGGCATCGTGTTTTAAAGTAGTGTTGGCTCTACCTTGCCGCGCAATCTAATATTCAACCGAATATGCACAGTGGATCGTCAGCATCGAAATGAGATTGCACGCTGTATTGATCATGCGAGCTACCCGCGAGGGCAACAAAGCTACGCGTTTGTATGAAGTTTCCTTCCCAAACTCCAGCTTCTACACGAGAATGGCAATATCACCGAAACTAGAGAGACGATGCCGTTTAGTGAGTAGATCAGGATGGCACGTATAAAGCTAGCCTTTGGAGTCGTGTTCGTTTCGAGGGGGCGGAAGCATTCAAGTTGAATTCCTCTGGTAATAAGGCACCCCTTCTTGCAGTAAGGTGACCGGAGAGCAGATCTTGCGCTCCTAGAAGACGCAGTCTGGCGAGCTTCTGCATATATCATAGTCTTTACTGGTCATAAGTACGCTTTCAAATCTCCAATGCCTGCCTCTGTTATGCTTGTTGACATCGACGACATCGACTTTTTGTTGCCCATAGGCATCATCGCTGCCATTTGACAACAACAACAGCAACGTATACTTCGTGTTGTGCATGAGCATCACTTGCGGCCTTTTTGATGCTTTAAGCAAGTGCACGCAAACTGAGCGTAAGCGGAAGGCTTTTCGTTGCGTTTTAGTTAAGATTACGAACTTGCTGGAAGCAATCTCATAAAGTAGGAAACAAATTGTCAGCAACAGGTGTGATAATGATGTGCTTCATTTCCATTTCTGGGCCTTGGAATTGCCGAAACTTAAGTAATGGCGAGTAGTGGTGCTGCGCAGTGCGACGTAATGTAGCCGTTGATCGACTATCCAAGTTACGGTACGCATAGCACTCGTTCGTCAGCCAGTTGGTTTAACTTCCTTGCGCCATTCATTTTTCGGTCTCTTTTGGTAACTAATACTTGTAAGTTAGTAGAAAATGCTTTACTCGCAGCAGTTGTCACTTGCATACTCCAGCCTTGCACTATCCTGCGGCCTTAAAGGGCAAACACGTATTCTTAATATTAGTAAATGTACATACATGGCACGTGCAGTGCAATGCTTCGTTGGAAAGCGCATTTCCCGTCAATACTGCGTTTCCGACCCCCCCCCGAAGACGCATTCAGCATGCTGTTTCCACTGGAGTTCCACATTTTCGTTGAGTGTCTCTAGCTAAATGGTCTTGCGCAGCGGCGAAAGGTTTAAAAAGCGTCAGCAACATAACGAACTTGCAAGAGAGAGATAATGACGGGCTATCTCATCGTGCATGTGTTAAGCTCTTGGATTTAAAGTGTTCCTGGTTGCCGTCGGCTTCATACGAACGTGAATATAGTCTTGGAAAGCTTACTGAAGCTTGGCGTGCATTTTGCTATACACCTTCTTCTGCGGATCATGATAATGCGGTGGTGGCTTTTGTAATGGGGTTGTACGAAATTATGGTACTTTGTACCAGAGGTGTTACACACCTGAGGGTACCCCTTTGTGAAGATGAAATAGAATATCTTTTTGGTTTGTAGGAGCTGACGAGTGTCAGCCATTAGGTACGAAAGATCTTTGAGCAGGATTAAGATATTCAATAGGCTTTAACAAAAAATGAAATTAGTTCCCATTTTGGTCTAAAGGACACGTGGCTTGCGAGTCGTCTTGGTTGTTGATCACTGATCACTAAGAGTTAGCAACACCTCCTTGAGGTAGCTACTCTTGGGCACTGAGTGCTGTCGATTCCCTGAATCGTTAGGTCTTCTGGAACAGGGATCTGAAGCTGTAAAGCTTGTTGACTCGTAAAGTCGTTAGTTTGTTAGAACTAAGCTGCTCGTAAAGCGTTAAGTCTTCCTCCGACTTAAGGAGCTGTGTAGCTCCGCTACACTTGGTAGCACTTGTAGTCAATCTACGCCTGAGTCTATAAGGCTGATCCTCTGTGAGGATGGAAAACCCCACTCCCCTATCTGAGGCCAAAAAGGTCGCGCTTGATAAGCTGACCGCATCTTTGGGTCCAGAGTACGTGGAGTTCCTTGTTATACAAGGTCCGGAAGTGCTTAATGCACGTGTTGAAAGCTTCATGCAGTATGAAGCGACCCTTTTAGGGCAGGTCCAAGACCAAATAGCGTCGGCTATGCCTATACGCTACGTGTCTGTACCAGACGAAGAGGCTAGGCCTCGTCCACTTAGAGTGGAAGTGAAAAACTATTCCGGTAAGGAGGGTGAGAACCTCATCCTCTGGATCCGTGAGATTGAGATGGCCATGAGATCAGGCCTGATCACGCTTGACCATCAACAGGTCTCGCTGGCTATCTCGAAGCTCGACGGAAGAGCTAGAGAATGGGCCTTGACGTGTAGCACGTCGGTGGACATAGCGTTTCTCACATGGGAGTCGCTTAAGTCACAATTGTTACAGGTGTTCTCACCACCTAACCCGGCTTACCGCGTGCGTTCACGCTTTCTTTCTACCCGCCAGGGTAAGAATGAATTATCGTACTATGTCCAAGAGCTGCGAACGCTAATGGCTGCAATGCAGTCTGACACTCTGCCTGAGGCAGTCCATGTGACTATCTTCATGGAAGGTCTACGTACTGGCATTGCCAGAACCGAGGTTTTTCGGGTTCACCCTCCACTTTTGAAGAGGCTGTGAGACTTTCTCTTGATGCTGAGCATAACTTTAAGTCGGCCAGACTTGGTTGGAATGGGTACAATTCTCTCTCTGTGAGAGCAAACTCTTCGGGTACCACTGCCTATAATAGGCCGGAACCGATGGATCTCAGCTATTCTGAAGATGGAGGGGAAGCTGAGCTTCAAGCTGCTGAGCAGCAACACGTCTTACGATAATGTTTTACGTGCGGAAGCACTAAACACTTGCGGCCTGGTTTCCCTTTGCGTAAGCAACGCCAGGCTACAAGCCAACACTCGACTTCGAGTCAGAAATCTGGCATGGCACGGGGAATTGCCGACACCCAGTAGGAGCGGGGCGCCCTACTGGGGAAGAACTAGGTTCTGTTACACCTTTAAAAGGTAAAGGAAGGCAGGGCTTGGCCCCAAAGAGTACCATACCTATTGGTTTGGAGCGTACATACAAGTCTGGCTTGTTGGTCGCCGAGGCGAAAATAAAGGGCTTTGAGAAGCCTTGGTCGATATTGATCGATTCTGGAGCGTATGCAATTTTGCTCGACGCCGTTCCCTTGAGAGAAGTGAGCGTTATGCTGAGGCGCTTACAGCGCATGAGGGTATTTCTATCACGGTACGTTTAGCGACTAGAAGTCGCGTTACTGTGCCTAAAGTTCCATTGAACTTAGGTATAAAGTTTCTAGACTTTGACAGTATTGAGCGCTGTCTTGTCCTAGATTTGGACTCGAGATATGATCTCATCCTAAATATGGCTTGGCTTACACGCCATGAGCCCTGGATTGATTGGAGGTCTAAGACCTAAGGCGCTACGCGCAATGTTCCTAGCGAAGTTTTGGAGAGTCATGAACCCACCTTCGCTAGGCAACAGAAGCGCTATTGGCGCAAGCCTTTGACAGAAGATGTCAATGTGCTGGATATTGGAATGTCTGAGTTATCTAAGTCCAACGTTACAAACATAATTTTCGAGCCTAGCTCGTCTAGAATTAGTGAAACGACATGTACTCCGTTGAGTGTTACTCATTGTGATTACGAGTCACTGTATGCTGAAAGCATGGTTGGCCTAGGGCCGAGTGATAAAGGATGTGATTCCTTTGATGTGTGCGTGTGTGTGGTGGCACGTGAAACTACACCGAGTGCGGTCGGCCGTGAGAGCACCGCACTTAATGTCGGTAATGACATTGTTGGCCATATGCCATTTATTGTGGGCGGCCGTGAAGTAACCACACTTAACGTCGGTAATGATATTGTTGGCGATACGCCGTATAGTGTGGACGGCCGTGAGGGCACCACAACTAATGTCGGTAATGACCTTATTGGCGATACTCCATTTAGTGTGTGCGGCCGTGAAGGCACCACGCTTAACGTCGGTAATGGCGTTGTTGGCGATACGCCGTATAGTGTGGGCGGCCGTGAATGCACCACACCTAATGACGGTAATGACTTTGTTGGCTAGACGCCGTTCAAAATTTAGGGCTAGACCCGCATAATACACGTGAAGTGGCACGTTTAAATCCACTGGGTGAAGTGTTCGAGTTATTTTAAACCTCACCGGATGTCGGTCAAGACATAAGCTCTCGTGTAGAGCGTACTATGGTTGATAGTAACCATGGGGACAACATTGTCCCGACCCCTAAGGGGTGTAAGGCCTCGAAGAGACGATCGAGACGCCGGGTAGAAAATTTAAAGCGCCATGCGTCCACACAGTCACATAGTGATAATCGTAATACACTATATACACTTGTTGATGGAGTGACTGGTCAGGTTGATGGCAATGTTTGCCTTCAAACCCTTCCATCTTTGGACGCTCTTTGTGAGCTAGACGAAATGTCTGATGGCAAATTAAGCCAGCTCTTGAAGGCAGGAGAGTTATCCGAATTAGTGGTCATTAGACCTGATACTGAGTTAAATTATTCCTCGTTAATGGATGAGTCTGTCCTAGAGAATGCAAAGGCGGCACTTAGTGCACGAAGTGGATCTTCGATCCTTAAAGATTCTTTGGATCCGTTCTATCCTTTAGTTAAGTGATTTCAAGATGTGGTGTGTCGCAACCCACCTTCTGCCTTACCTGCCAATAGAGTTGTACGTCATGAAATTGACTTAGTTCCTGGAACTAAATACTGCGTAACACGGCAGTGGCCTTTGCCTAGAGAACAGTGTGACGTCATTGACGATTTCTATCGTGCTAAGCACGCGGCTGGAATGGTTCGTGAGAGAAAGTCTTTCCATTCAACACCGACATTTGTGTCAAAAAGCCAAATGGCAAGTGGCGTATTGTGCATGCTTATAATAGGCTCAATGCTGCCTCTTTACCGGCGCAGACGCCTATTCCTATAAAGTATGTTCTTCAGAACAATATGGCAGGATGTACATTGTACAGTGCACTCGAATTAGTCGATGGTTATTACCAACTGCTCATGCGAGTAAGTGATATTCCGCTAACAGCGGTGAGTACTCCGAGCGGTATGCTCTGGGAGTGGCTTGTTATGCCACAAGGGCTATCTAACGCCCCGGCTACGTTTAACCGGCTGGTAACGCAACTATTCAGACCTCATCGAGGCTATGCACAAACGTACTTTGATGACATTTTTGTCCATAGTCGTGCAATGAATGGGCGATCAGATGTGGATAACCACATTGATCATTTACGAGCGGTGCTCGAGTGCATGCGAACGAATAAGTTGTATGCTAACGCATCGAAGTGCATCTTTGGTGCAGAAGAGATTCCCTTTTTAGGGTGCTTCATTGGGAAGCGAGGCCTTCGAGCGGATCCCGATAAGGTGAAAGCCTAGTCGACTGGCCGGTTCCCAAGAACCAAAAGGACTTGCGTAAGTGGCTTGGCCTTGCCAATTACTTACATAAGTACAGTGCGAATTACGCAGATATGGCTCGGCCATTGTCCAATCTCCTTAAAAAGGATGTGGATTGGTGTTGGGGTAACACCGAGCATAATGCTTTTGAAGCAGTTAAGGAGAGTCTCCTTCATGCGTAATATTGGCTTTGTCCGATTCTGGTCGGCCTTTCAGTGTCGTCTGTGACGCATCTGACTTTGCCATAGGCAGTGCTCTGTTACAAACAGATGGCGATGGACGCGAACGCTTCATCGCATTCGAGTCTCAGCAGCTGAAAGCTGCTGTAAAGAACTATTCAGTTCATGACAAAGAGCTACTTGCTATGAAGTAAGCTCTTGTCAAATTTAGAGTACATCTGCTTGGCTTCAAGCCGTTTGTGATCAATACAGATCATGCGTCATTACGCACTGCGACACAGTCGCCTCATATCTCACAGAGAATGGCTCGTTGGCTTTCCTTCTTTGCCGAATATAACTTCGAGGTGAATTACAAGCCAGGTAAGCAAAATGCTTTTGGCTGATGCGCTATCGCGTCGACCTGACTATGAGCTTGCTCATGTTACGACAATGTCGTCATCAGTCCCTGACTTAATTTGTACGGCTTATTCCAAGGATGAACACAGATTTGCTACGGGCCCTTGGGAGCGATGAGTTTTAAGACTCGTATGTAAAGTTGTCAGCACGTTTACGTGCAAGGCAACATCGATATTTCATCGATAATGGCCTGTTGTGCTATCGCACGGATATTGAGGATAACCCTCGTATCGCTGTACCTCGTGATAAGAATTAAAGTATCGAATCCTCTATGAGGCACATGATACTGCTTTAAGTGGTCATCTCGGTCGTAAGAAGACTTATAGCTCGGTGAGCCAAAGTTATTGGTGGCCTAACTTTTAAAGTGGGTGCGCACCTATGTGCGTACGTGCGAAACGTGTCAACGGGTTAAACCCTCTGCACATGCGGCGGCGCCGCTGGCTAGTTTGCCAGTACCCACTGGCTGTTGGGAGTCCATGAGCATGGATTTTGTGTTTGGCCTACCGAAAGATTTGGAAGGCAACACTGGTATTGTGTTCTTTGTTGACCAATTAAGCAAGATGTCTCACTTAGCGGCTGTGCCGGATAGCATCGATGCTGAAGGTACAGAAAAGCTGTTTAAAGACCGTGTGTTTCGCAAGCATGGCTTGCCAGTGGCAATTGTCTCTGATAGAGACCCCCGCTTCACTGGAAATTTTGGAAGTCTATTTCCAAGGTGCTGGGCACTCGGTTTGACATGTCCACAGCGGATCATCCGCAGACCGACGGTCATACTGAACGTGTTAACCGCGTCATCAACGACATTTTGCGCAGTATTTGTGCTGATACGCCTAGGCGTTGGAGCTCAATGCTCCCAGTTTTTGTGTTTGCGTTGAATAACTCTGTTCATGCCTCAACAGGCTTTACTCCGTTCTATACAAACGTTCTCACTCGCCCTCGCGTTCCGTTAACGCTATCACTACGAGATTCAGAGCTTGGTGGGGGAGAGGTTGCCGATCGGCTTGCTGATATCAGCCCTGCTACTGTTCAAAAACAGGTAGGCGAGTTTCTCGCAACGCGATCAAACGTCTTAAGACATGTGCGTGACGCAATGGCTGATAGCCAAGATAACCAAAAACAACAAGCTGATGCCAAAGGCAGAAAATGCATTGAACTTTATGAGGTCGGAGACCAAAAATTACTCAATGCTAAAAATCTACCTACAAATGTAGTGTCTGCGGTCTTTAAATTAAGTTGCGTCCACGCTTTATTGGACCGTTTACGGTCACTGCCAAGAAGGGACTTGCGTATACGCTTAACCTTCCGCGCAAATTGCGCACACATCCAGTGTTCTACGTAGGCTTACTTAAGCCGTACCGGGATCCTTTCCGTGTGAACTTGGAGGTGCTTGCGCCGACGACAAGGGCATTGCCCCGGATTGCTGTAGACGAATCAACAAGTACAAATGAGCCTCGCTCCGAGTTTGAGCTTGCCCCATCGCCTGAAGGCGGCTTTGCATCGCATCCAGCATGCACTGGGTCTTACCCAAGGGGCCTCTTGAAGACCCTTCACTTCGAAAACCAATTTCTCGTGGGCCTCCACCGGTACACCGGCCGCCACCGACTTTGCTCGATGAGCATGGGTGTCGTCAATTTCATGTCGAGAGACTACTGAAACGACGTCGTCGTCAGGGCCAATACCAGTATCTGGTAAAGTGGCGTGGGTACCCTGAGTCTGAAAACTCATGGGAATTTGAGGTCCCCCTTCGGCAAGACTGCCCATATGCTTTGGAGGCTTTTGAGCATCGTGGCCATGGTCATCTCGAGACCGAGGCCGTTCCCCACCACTAGTGGTGCGGGTTGGCGGGTTGTTGGTCACAGACTGACCAGCACTCGCGGCTACCTTAGTAGCTGAAGAATAGCGCGTGCGCTTGCGCAATTGTCCTCTGGCCTTAAGCTTGGCATAATCATACCGAAGCTTGTGTTCGAGACGCACATCAGCCGCATGGGCACTAGCCCTTAGAGCAAACAGATTGCTGAGGCGACGCACAAAGTGCACCCAGTGAACGAAGGCATCGTCTTCTTCGCTCACTGTTTCGCCTGATAGCAAGAGAAAGGGTATACCCTTGATCGGTGGAACCGGTGCACCACGTGCTTGCATGTCAAGGCGTGCCTTGTATTGACTTTAAGTCGTTAGGTGCGGATCTAGGTACCTCTCACGAAGTGCCTGGCATCTCATTACCTCCTCAGGAGTCTTAGGTCCATGGCCAATGACCCACGTTGCCAATGTTTGGCCAGCCGCTTGACGTAGACGTTCCTCCACACTGGGTGGAGTGAATACATAGTCACGCTGGAGTTCAAGGGTTGAAACCATTTGGACATGACGCTGAGCGTTTTCTTCTTGTTAGATAAGCAATTTTTGTTGCTCATCGAGCGGGTTCGTGATAGTAGTTTCATCAGAACCAGATGCTGCATGCTGCGCTGGTGGCGCGCTCGCATCTATACGTTCAGAGAACGGATTTGGGGTGTTCGAAGGTTGTGCAACAGGCATCGGTGAGTCGGACATTGTCCCTATATCGCCGTGGACACTGGTATCGCTAGCATAGTCCACTTCCTCCTCTATTCCGAGGTAGCCACACAGAGTCTTTAACTCGTTTGGTGATGAGGACATCGTGCTAGAGCGTACGTTACCGCGAGGTTTACCATACGCGCACTTTTCTCGCTGGGAAACACAAGTTCGGTTGACGTTTTGGTAAACGTCAGTCTCGTGGCGGCTTTTGTAATGGGGTTGTACGAAATTATGGTACTTTGTACCAGAGGTGTTACACACCTGAGGGTACCCCTTTGTGAAGATGAAATAGAATATCTTTTTGGTTTGTAGGAGCTGACGAGTGTCAGCCATTAGGTACGAAAGATCTCTGAGCAGGATTAAGATACTCAATAGGCTTTAACAAAAAATGAAATTAGTTCCCATTTTGATCTAAAGGACACGTGGCTTGCGAGTCGTCTTGGTTGTTGATCACTGATCACTAAGAGTTAGCAACACCTCCTTGAGGTAGCTACTCTTGGGCACTGAGTGCTGTCGATTCACTAAATTGTTAGGTTCCCTGGAACAGGTATCTGAAGCTGTAAAGCTTGTTGATTCGTAAAGTCGTTAGTTATTTAGAACTAAGCTGCTCGTAGAGTGTTAATTCTTACTCTGACTTAAGGAGCTGTATAGCTCCGCTACAGCTTAACTCTGCTGTTCACACGCTGCTCATAGGATTTAGACAAAAAGCAATTCATCAAACAATTATCTGATCAAATTTGGACATTCCGGTTCATTCGCATCAAGTCAGCGCGTATCGATGTCGCCAGTTCGAGGAGCGGTTGCGACGAGAATCTTACACTGTACCGTTTATGGTCTACTGCGCTGCGTCAGCTGCTCCGTAAGGTCGGGGAGTCCGCGTAATAGCCGTTGAGTTAGTGCCTTCATAGCGTTGCCATGTCGATCGACGATGGCTTTTGTGAATGTCACTTTGTTCGTTAGCATTACTACGTTACTGGCATCATCAGTACCTTCTACCTCTGCAATCTCATCATCACAGGTACTTGAACGAAAATTGCATAACATGCCGTACACCGCCAATTCCGTCCTCTTTCCTTACTCGAACTGCAGATACTTCCTCTCAATACTTTTTTTTGAAAATTGTACACTATCCGCAACAGGTCGCCTGCTGCTTGTACCCACCCATGGCAGTCTTGGTCTGCTTGAGAGCTGCGATTGCCTCTTCGGAAAGAGGAAGAGAAGATGAGACATATTTAGGTACGCGAACGACCCGCTCTATCCTGTCTACAGGCAAAAGTAGTACCTTGTCGACATCTACGTTTTCACTAATGTAGATATAGCCTTCGGATGACCGAGCGGCGCTGCGCATGGTGTTGTCTCGAGATTATTCGATCCCTCGCATGTGTTGCGCGGATCGGCAGTTCGGCAGGATCGGCTTGAGAAACCTCCAGCCAGTGATTAAAATCATTGTCGAGGAAGGCCGCAGCCTCTGAGACGACACGGTGTCCCGAGGTAGCGTGCACTTGAATGGAGGTACATGATTCCATAGCTAGATTGTCCAGTTGATCCGACATCTTGTTGTAGTCGCGGTAGTGATGGTCCCATCTGGGGACGTCAACATCGTATGCTGAAGCCTGTGCTTCTCAAAAGGCAATTTCAGGTGTGGCTTGTGAGGGGGGGTGATGGGTACGAATTTGGAATAGCACGAGCGCACTGTCCCCAACGACATGCAAAGGTAAGTATCCGCTAGCTTTCTCTTGACGGATCCTGGTGACTAGCTCCGGTATTCCGCGACACTGTTGGTAGTATGAGTAGAGCTGTAGGACATGCTCGCCACCCACATGATGCAAACGGCGTGCGTCGGAACGTGCAATTGACCATGACAGATCCAGGCCCACCTGTTCCAGGATTTTAACGCGATTCACCGTCGAAGAACAAACGTTAAAGAACCGCCTAAGTCGCTGTTGCTCGGCTAATCTTACAACGAGCGAGGATTTATCATAGTATAGGAGAGAGCCAGCAAGGGCCGAACGCACCAGTGCAAGGAGTTGGCCATCCTCTCCCACATCTGGCTGGAACATGGACCTGCGCAAAGGAGTGACCGATCGGCAGAATTGGGTTTGAGCCCTGGCGGTGTGTATCTCCTGTGGCAGAGTTGATTCCTCCATGCAGAGGAGACTCTCAATCCAGACGGCATGTAGCGTCGTAGAAACGACAAAGCGCTAAATATCGCGAGCTGCTGTAAAGACCGCATCCTTCGCACCCGACGGATCATTGTCCGGGTGGAAAGCATCCTTAAAAGCGTTCCATGACGCGCTTGAAAGAAACGGCGATTCCGTTCCAAATACCCAGACTTAAAGGTCATCCTCCTTTACGTTTCGAGACTTTTCCACCGAGATAGTAGATGGCGCCAATGTCGTTGGGCACTAGAGCAGTTCTAGAAGACGTGACTTGCCAGTGCAGGGATGGGGGGTAAACACTCAGGTACGGGGCACGACAGGTCTTGAGTCGCCTGATGCCAGAGTTGGAAAATGTTGTTTTTGAGTCGATACAGCGTCTTTGCACCGGCTGGAAAGTTTTCCATTATCCATCGGAGGTCCCTCTACTCGATTATATCAATGCCTGTTGAAATCACTCGAAAGTCCGGCTTCGTGACCCGCTTGTCGCGCAGTCGGTTCCCTTCCTGACGCGACTGCAGGAAAAGGATATGCTTGATCTGCTTGCGTTGCGAAAGCCGTCGTCGTGATTCAGCCCAAAGCTGCACCAGGCCAGCGCGAGCACGAAATGTGCGCCAAAGTAGACAGTATATACACTGTTTAAGGAGGCAGCGCTATCGCACGCCAACATCGATGAAATAAGAGTCTCCGCAAGACCTGACCGTGTCGAAGTGGAATCGTGATGTACCGTCGTGATTAAGTATCCAGTCATAATGATGATTGATCTTCGATGAGTACGTAATAAAGGCCCCTGGCGTGATATCCCGATAAACGAGCAAAAGGGGGTTGTAATGAAGGGCTGTACCGAAAGATACAAAGTGTCTTCGTTTAGCCATCGATTAGGTAGCCGCATCTCTCGTGTTGTTAGGAAACGTAAAACCCCATGTTTCACCGTTCTCCAAAATGTTGCGTCGCCCATATAGGTCTGCTCTGTTTTGGTAGGGCAACATGATGCAGTGGACAAGAATGGGACAAAATGTATACGATCCTTATGGTGTTGACTCGTTCTGGCAAAAAAGAAGACCCACACAGTCGAGCAGAGGGACCTCCTCGCTAGTGCTATCGCGGTGCCCGATATTGCCTATCTAGCACGTCTTGGTTGGCCTCCTCCTGTCAGTGTCACCTGATTGCATGGATTGGTCATGGGCTTTGTATGGGATATCGAGATAGCAAGCGATCCCGAACTTGGGTGCCCACCGAGATGGGTGCATTGCCGATACTTCAAGGCGGCCTTGCCGTGTCGTGCATTAGAACGGAATTGCTGACAACAACGGCGACAGCAGTTGGTCAGTGGGACGCTACGGTTTCCACGAATGTATGCTGGTTGGAGATATCCTGTGGGGTTCTCCAGGGTCAGGGCTGGCTTAAATAACACCATGTTGGACTGAACACACGTATCTCAGATACAGATCGTCCCTCTGGTTGACTGTTCTGAAATTGTTGGTCTGTCCGCTGCTCGACATGCCTGCCAAGGTGATGTCAAGGAAGTCTGCCGTCGGGCCATAATCGTGTGTCAAAAGCCGGGGTCGATTACAATGACTAAGGAAGCGTCTAAATTGATGTCCAACGAGTGCTTGATGGCAAGATGAAAGCTGAATGACGGCCAAAGTTGCAGCATCGGGTCGGTTTGACACCAGATGGCTTGTCCACGCTTCGATGAAAGGTGTGTAGTGGCTGCGAGATCATAGGGACAAGCCCTGCCGGTTGAAAGGTGTTGGATTTGCTACAGAGCAGACCTACATGGGCGACGCAACGTTTTGGAGAACGGTGCAACATGGGGTTTTACGTTTCCTAACAACACGAGAGATGCGGCTACCTAATCGATGGCTAAACGAAGACACTTTGTATCTTTCGGTACAGCCCTTCATTACAACCTTCCTTTGCTCTTTTATCGGGATATCGCGCCAGGGGCCTTTATTACGTACTCATCGAAGATCAATCATCATTATGACTGGATACTTAATCACGACGGTACATCACGATTCCACTTCGACACGGTCAGGTCTTGCGGAGACTCTTATTTCATCGATGTTGGCGTGCGATAGCGCTGCCTCCTTAAACAGTGTATATACTGTCTACTTTGGCGCACATTTCGTGCTCGCGCTGGCCTGGTGCAGCTTTGGGCTGAATCACGACGACGGCTTTCGCAACGCAAGCAGATCAAGCATATCCTTTTCCTGCAGTCGCGTCAGGAAGGGAACCGACTGCGCGACAAGCGGGTCACGAAGCCGGACTTTCGAGTGATTTCAACAGGCATTGATATAATCGAGTAGAGGGACCTCCGATGGATAATGGAAAACTTTCCAGCCGGTGCAAAGACGCTGTATCGACTCAAAAACAACATTTTCCAACTCTGGCATCAGGCGACTCAAGACCTGTCGTGCCCCGTACCTGAGT